TAGGTTAGAGAGAGAACAGTATTCATACCATAAAAATACCAGCATGAGCAAAAAAAAATAAAAATAAAAATAAAAAGAGACTTACAAATGAGTGCATTTACATGCAGAAAAGAAGAGAACTTAAATAACCAAAGCAGGTGAACTGTTTTAACAAAGAGATCTGTATTTTATTTAACAAAAGGCATTACATCTAATTCCACAGTTAAATCCTCCTTGCAAGGTGAAGTGAAATCAGAGCAGCAACCTGAAATTGTCTATAATGGAAAGTACTCCTTATGCAGAGACATCAGATAGCATAAAACTTTAATCCATAACTTAGTTAAACACAAGAAGTCTTATTTTGAGAACGTGAATCTTAAAAAATCAATGAAAAATCCATCCATAGTTTATGAAATTAGCTCAGATTTGCTAACTGATGTGAAGATTATAGGGGAGGACAGTTGGGACTGGTTATAATTCTTGCAAAGCCTCATCTTCGTCTATAAACAGTAAAAGAAGCACTAGCAGTATCTAGTTTTTTAGCATAATTTAGTGTATAAGTAGTTTGGGCACTTGGCAATAACTGATCAGAAAATTATATGAAGTCATGTTATTAAGTATGATAGCTTATTAATAAAGATATATAACAAAGATCATTTTCATCAATAAAATAATTTTTTGAAGTGAATATATATTATTCAGAGACTGTAGGCTTCAGTATGCTAAATAAATGACATTGGCTCCCCAGCTATTTACATGGCTTTCAGCCCTCCAAAGCCCGTGACCTAGTCAAATTAATGTTGGCCTCAACTTAAAAGTCATCTGTATAAATAAATAATTCACACCCTCTGCATACTCCTTGCCTTAGCAATTTCAGTGCAGAATTCTGCTGGAATTATGAAAAACTTCAGTAGGAATAATGCAAATAAAATATATTTTAGACCATAGTCTACATTAGAACATGAAATTGTAAGGTCAAAGTTGTATCATAATAAAGAGTTACAGCTAAACGTAAAGACTTATTTTGGTTTTACTGTCAGCCTAAGACTAAATGATTAAAATATATGAATATGGAAATTCAATGTAACAACAGCATCTATATGGCAAATGTGATTTGGATAGTAAGGTATCAAGAAAAAAATGCAAACTCCTGGATGGAAAATAAAAGCATAGTTTGAAATAGAATTTGATGCCATATTTTGTTTTCTTTGTTTTGCATTTTTAGCTCTGTGTCAGAAAATGTACTAATCATTCCAACATGGAAAATTAAATTGAACTCATCTAAGTAATTTGAATATTTGTATATGTGTATCTTATATAATCTAAACAGATTGATCTTTATATCAAGCTGAGTTTCTTCAAAATACATTGGTTGACCATCATTTAGTTTATACTTTCCATGTTTTGTTTTAATGACTAATTGTATTTTAATTCTCATAAGACAGAATTTAAAAGCTGGCTGAGGTCCAAAAAGTATTTAGCTTGACTTCCATTAAAAAAAAATCTACACTAACTTTACAGTGCATGCCATTTTGTTCCTCATGAGGAGACTGTATGCCCTAATCTACCTATATGAAGGAAGTCCTAACTGCTTTGTCATTTGCTTTAGCAAACACTGTTATATATATTTATATATATATATACATTTTACATATAAATATATATATATCATAATATTGAAAGAGAATGTCAACTACCTCTATTTTGACCTCAGTCTGTACTTTCCAAATCATTTAAATTCTTCCTTTTATCTTATCTTTTGACTCAGGGAAAAGACCCAGTGGGCAAAGAACCCATGATGGAAAACAAAATCTCTTCTAAAAAAAAAAAAAAAAAAAAATCCCTTCTCCTAAGTAATAACAACTGCCCTGAACCAGCAAGACCCCATGCAATTTACCCCAAGATAGTGATGGACCTGATATTTACTGTCTACATGTGTGTACCTACTAACCTTTGTCTCACATTTTCCTCTTATAAACCTGTAAGTATTTCAACACTTTGGAGACAACCTTTGAGGTGTTAGTCCACTGACCTCCCCCTACTGACCTCACTGAGATAAATTCCTTTCTTGTTTCACCACCGCTCATCTCTCTGCCTCTGGATTTTGTCAGTGGCTAGTGGAGGACCCTGGTCTGTTTGGGACAAGGAGAGCCAGGTCCTCTTGCATCCCTGCATCCCAATTACAATATTTAAAAATTGATTGATTATTTGTCATAGATAGTAACATAATTTCTAAGGTATTTTATTTGTTTGTTCAATAGTAACAACATTGTTATTAATATTAACAATATTAATATTGTTCAATATAATAGCAACTAATAAAATGATTGATAATCTTTATCAAGTATTATTAAAATAATTGAAAATATAAAAAGGTGTATGTGTGTGTGTTTGGGGAAATATCATATTTGGGAATACCTCATCAGTTTCAATAAATAAAAATAAAAATAATTTAATCAGTAATTAATATAAATTCATATCTGCAGACTTCTTAAAATAAGCAAAAATTACATATTTATTAGTTATAAAAGGACATTATTTAAACATTTCCATTGATTTTAATTGGTAAGTCATAGGAGATATGTCATTTTAACAAATTTATGTCAAAAAAATTAAAAATATAAATAAAATTGTACTTCCAAAATACTCTAGAAAATAGGAAGTAAAATACTCTTGTTTATTTTAAAGGATGCACATGGAAAAGTTGTTGTAGGCTTTCCATAACTATTACAATATATTGGAAATATAGATTTTTAAAAATTTTTATCTTATTTATTTGAGAGAAAGAGAGAGAGCATGAGTTGGTGGGGGGAGGGCAGAGGGAGAGGGAGAGAAAGTTTCCAACAGGGGCTGACAATGGGCTCCATCCCAGGACTCCCGGATCATGACCAGAGCCAGAGGCAGATGCTTAAAACACTCAGCCACCCAAGGGCCCTGAAAATATAGGTTTCAGTATAAACATCAATTTATCCATTTGTTTCTTGACCTTCAACTTGCAGCATTTGATTAATTGTATGGAATCCTGGTTTATGTGCCACAACAGAATTTGGCAACATGTGCTATTTCATTGACTATTTGATTTGGGCCACTAGGTGTTATTTATGAAGATTAAAATTAGCTGCTGCTAGGAAGCTTTGCCATTCAATAATTGTTGTTAAGGTCTACCTCCTGAGATATGATTGAGTTAAAGTTCTGTTAGGAATTTATGAAAAACTTCTACGCTGCACATCACTGTACAAATTGTTAAAGGGAAAAAAATTTAACAATGAGACATGACCTTTTCCTTCAAAAGTCTGCACACAAGACGATGAGACAGCATTAATATCAAAAGATATAATTAGGGTAGTCCGGGGGTCTCAGAGGTTTAGCGCCACATTCAGTCCAGGGCCTGATACTGGAGACCTGAGATCAAGTCCCACATCAGGCTCCCTGCATGGAGCCTACTTCTCCCTTTGCCTGTGTCTCTGCTTCCCTCTTTCTGTGTCTCTCATGAATAAATAAATAAAATCTTTAAAAACTTTAAAAGCAATGATAATAAAGGACAAGTATGATGGTTAATTTTATGTGTCAATTTGACTAGGCAATAGGATACCCTGACATGTGGTGAAACATTATTCAGGGTGTGTCTATGAGAGCATTTCATGATAAGATTAATTTTTGAATCAACAGAACAAGTACAGCAGATTGCTCTCCTTAAGGTGGGCATGACTCATCCAAACAATTGAAGACCTTAATAGAACCAAAAGTCTGAGTAAGAAGGAACTTCTCCTGCTTGATTGCTTGAGCTGGGACATTGGTCTTCTGACTCCTACTGAAAACATTAGCTCCTCTAGATATGGTGTCTGATAACTTTCAAAGTGGAATTTACACTATCAGATCTCCTGCTGCTTAGGCCTCAAACTCAGATTGTGATACATATCAGCTCTGCTGGCCTCTAGCTTGCTGACTGCAAATCTTGGGACTTCCAATCATGCCAATTCCTTTAAATCAATCAATCAGCCAATCCTTTTGGTTCTGTTTCTCTGGAGAATCCTGACTAACCCAAGGCTAGCCACTGGGATTGTGCAGAAAGATAAAACGTTTTCCCCCAGAATGGCTAAAATTGTTTACTTATTTCTATGTTCTCCTTTCATACCACTTCTCTACTTCTTCCTTCCACCCTTTTCAGGATCAGGAAATGCTTCGTTGCTACAGTAGCAATAAACAAAGGAGATTTTTGATAGACATGTGGGATAAATCTGTTCCAAGTAGAAGATAGTAAGTACAGGGGAAGATATTTAGATATCTAATGTTTGAAAAAATAATGATAGTGGTACAGAGTCCTATGATAACAGTTTAGGATATTGCTATGAAATGCTAATCTAAGAGATCGGCAAATACTGGATTATAATGAAAATGTCAAGAAGCACTGATGAGCTGGTATTTAGGTATATAGTATACACACTAAGCATTCTTCTAAGCACTTCATTTTAAATCACGTAATCATACTATTCATTCTATTAAAATTTTTCTATTTTTGAAGTTTTACATTTGAAAAAACTGAGACACAAATAAATACAGCAAGTTGCCCAAGGTCATACAAGTTTAATCACTAGTAAAGCTAGGATTCAAGAATGAGGAGACATTCAATTCAGAGGAAGAAAATTAATCAGAGCCTATTAAATGATTCAGATAAGTTATGAGGTTTGAAATAAGATACTAATTATAGAAATGAAAAAAAGAGTACAAGGTAAAAAAATTATATTGTCAAATTATGCAGCATTTGGCATAAAATGGACTTGAAGCCAATAAGTACAAAATAGTCAAACCAGAAAATACGAAAGAGCAGAAGACAAATTTCATTTAGAATATTTTACAGTTGAAAAGAGACACTATCTATATATTCAAGAATAAAATAATTTTTTTCTAAGTCACTGAGTTTACAATTGCTCAATGCACCTGAGATTATTACTGTAAACCAAATATCCCTTCCTTGATTTAAATTCTCCAGTGGCATTTATCCTGGTTGGACTAATTCTTACCAGTGGAATGTCAGCAAAAATGATGCAGTTCAGAGCAGGTGATTCCTGCCTCTGCTCTCATCTCCATGACTGACAACAAAGGATATCTCCATGGTATTGTTGCAAGATGAAGTAGATTGGATCACTGACTCAAACTTTGAAGGAGAGCATGATGAGAGGCACATGACTCACGTTGATCTGTAACATAAAAATTTGATGTGTGCAGTCATTGGGATTTTGGAGTTTGGTTATTACTGCAGCATAGCATAGGTAACTTACCTTGACATATATGTACAAGTAAAAGGTGTAGCTCTAAGACTACCTTAAGAGATCTCTGAGTCTGATCTTTCACTTTAAGGTATGAGGATAAAACAATTCCTAATTGGAATTGGAAATCCTAATTGTTCCTAATGTGCTTAAAATTTAGTAAACTAGTAAGATATGAATGTGCTTTGTAAATCAAAACTACTGTGTAAGTAAAAAGCATTCATATGCTGTTGTTGAATATCAGTCAGATATTATTGCAAGCAACAAAAATATTTGGGCTACCACATTTTTTAAAATAATTTATTGAAGTATATTGTGCTCTGAGAAATTCATTAGAACCTAGGAGTACAGTCTTGAAAATCAGTAGAATCTAGGGTAATTCTAGAGTTCCAATAGTCCAATATAGAAGCTAATAGTCATAGGTACCTATTGAACTCTTAATATTTGGACAATTTGAATTGAGATGTGTTATAAGTGTAAAATACAAACTTGAGTTAGAAGAATTAATATAGGGACACCTGGGTGGCTCAGCGGTTGAGTGTCTGCCTTCAGCTCAGGGCTTGATCCCAGGATCCAGGATCTAGTCCCACATCGGGCTCCCTGCAGAGAACCTGCTTCCCCCTTTGCCTGTGTCTCTGCCTCTCTCTCTCTCTCTGTGTCTCTCATGAATAAATAAGTCTTTTAAAAAATGAAGAATTAATATAAAAAATGTAAAGTAACTTAATAGTTATAGTGATTATTGAAATGAAGATTTTTTTTATTATACTGGGTTAAATAAATCAGATTATTAAAATTAGAGTCCTTTTGTTTCCTTTAACTTTTTCAAATGCTGCTAATAGAAAACTTAAAATTGCATAAGTGGCTCTCATTTGTGGTTTCTATTACTTTTCCAATGGGGAGCACTGACCCAGGCCTTTCACCTTTCCCAGAATAAGCTAAAGGCTAGCTCACTCCAAACAGGATATCATTTCGAATAGCCTCCAACTGGAAAGATATCCTTGAGGTAGAAAGTAAGGAGGTAGAAAACAAAGGAAGAATGATTGTCTCTATTCTGAAAATTGTTAAGAAATCACTTTTTTTTCAAAAGGATAAAATATGATCCTTATACAAATAGAGAATGAACACAAGTCAAAGATTTTGTCTAACTCATTACATTGTAGGAGCCAATAAGATGCTGCAACCAATTCAAAGGAATATTCTAAGAACCACATATATAAAAAGAGAATAACAAATTCTGAAATTAATTTAAAAGAGATGCAACATGGATCTACCCACAAGGCAATAATCACTTGCAGTTTACTGGACACAAGGAATTTGCATTTCTATGCACAAGAATAATTTGCATTATGATCAGTGTTCTACAATTTACATGCTCAGTGTCAATGATAGAAAGAGATACACATATAGGTGAACCAGAGAAGACACACGCTGACTTTTTCCCCTCATTGCAGAATCTTGGAAATTTTTCCTGGCAGGATGAAAAAATTAAGAAACAAAAGAATATCAAATTGCGTTTTTCAGCATTACAAGGGCAATGATGGAAATTCTGTAATCTAAATCATGATCTCTGATTTGTAATATATTCTGTGCCAATGATGTATTTTTCACTTTGTTTTAGAAAATTTTCTAAGTGTTTTTGAAGAAATAGAATAGATATTGACAAAAATTGTACTTTTTAATAATATTTATTTAAAATTACATGTTTTTCCTGAAGCTCCAACCCAGTAGGTATAACACACCACACCTCCAACAAACCCACCCCCTACAGAAAACAACCAACCAGCTAAACAAACAAACAACTGTCCTTGTGCTAACTCCTCGAACCTGTATTTTGCAAAAAAAGAAAAAGGGGGGGGGTGGTTAGTGGGGAGTTTACAGATAATGATTGAGGGTAACAGGTCATACAGTAGGGAAATTACCTGAGATCAACCAGGTGGGCTCCATCTAATCATACAAACACTTAAAAACAGGAAAATATATCTAGCCAGGGGCAGAAAAGATGCAGCAAAAGAAGTAAAAAACATGCACTCTGGGCTGACTTTGAAGAAAAAAACCAAATGGCTACTTTGTGAACCGCTGATGGAGAAGGATAGCCTCTAGAAGCTGAGTGTGACCCTGAGTTGGCAGTCTGCAAGAACACAGGGGCCTTAGCCCTACAACCACAAGGAAATGAAATCTGCCAACAACCAGGGAGCTTGGAAGAGTCCCCCAGGCCTCATATGAGAATGGCAGTCCTAGCCAAAAGCTTGATTTCAGCCTGTGAGATGTGATCAGAGGAGCCAGCTAATTAGCACCCAGACTCCTGAGTCATGGAAACTGTAAGATAATGATTGTCTTGTTTAAATGAGTAAGTGTGTGAAAATTTGTTACAGCAGCAACAGAAAATGTAGATACTTACTCTCATGCCAAACTACTTTTTTTGATTGGGAGTTTTGGTTATTATTGTTTAGATGGCAATCTCTTTTATGTTTGTGAATGATACGCCATCACCCATGAAATGAACTAAAAGTCTTGTCTGGTTTATTAATCTAAATACCTGAATTCTCTCATGTGGCCAAAAAAGGCTAGAATCTAATGTTAAGAGCTGCATAGTGAAGGGGAATATAAGGGAAGGGAGAATAAATGTGTGGGAGATATCAGAAAGGGACACAGAACATAAAGACTTCTAACTCTGGGAAATGAACTAGGGGTGGTGGAAGGGGAGGAGGGCGGGGGGTGGGGGTGAATGGGTGACGGGCACGGAGGGGGACACTTGACGGGATGAGCACTGGGTGTTATTCTGTATGTTGGTAAATTGAACACCAATAAAAATTAATTTATTAAAAAAAAAAAAAAAAAAAAAAAAAAAAAAAAGAGCTGCCTGATGCAGTTTGCTTTTAGCTTATCTCAGGCAGAGCTTTGTTGCTCATTTTGAAAGAGAAAACCAACACTTTTGCTGATTAGAGTGATAGGGCTACTTACCAGAAGCATTAAAGTGTTTAGTGCTCACAAATGGCAGGATCATGTTACTTGATAATAACTTTCTACAAATTCTCTACTACTACAAAGAGGTTGGTACATGATTCTTAGAGGGAAGCTGTCAGCTAGGAGGAAGATCAGAAATAAACAAGGATAAAGTACTTGGATATGAGGCAAGGTTAGAAGTGTTAAATATTAACAGATTGGTCAACTAAAATAGGGAATGGGATTAAAAGCATACTTTATATCTGAAGTTTATTAAACAGCAAATTTATGAAGTAATTGGGAAGAATGTTGCAGCTGGATATTAGGTTAGATCACAACAGGGTTAAGCATTAGGTAAAAGAGGATATATTAGGCTAGAAAAACTTATATAATAAACAACTTTCCAACCTCAGGGGCTTAATGCTTTCTAGCTTGCATCATAGTTCACTGCGGGGTTGAAGGGAGGGCTGGGAAGGGTGCTTTTGCGTGAAGCCATTCAGGAATTCAGGCTTCTATCGTGTGGTTCACCCACCATCTTCTTGGGTGGAAGTAAGAAAACTAGGATTCATGGACCAATTTTGGTTGCAAACCTGTTTTCATATGCCATATGAGCAAAGAGTGGTTTTTGCATTTTTAATGTATATGAATAAAGAATGTAACAAGCACAAAATTTACAATCTGGCCTTTTCAGGGAAAAAAAAAATTGCTAACCACAGCTCTAGAGCCTTGGTAGCCTCAATCAGAGTCTCAGCATCCAGCTGGCTATAAGGAAAAAAGTGAACATAGAAGTTTGTGTAAGAGGTTTTAGGGGCCAGGTCTGGAAATGACAAATACACTTCTACTAAACATACTGATAGTCAGAAATATTTAATGGGACACTTCCTCTCTGCAAAGCACAGTTGCGGGTACAGTCTAGCTCTACGCATAGCTGGAAAAGTAATAGAAATTAAAGAATTATGGGAGATGTTTTACCGCTAGGGAAAGAGTTTTTATAACTTGCCATAAAACCAATTTCTGGTTAACAAAACTTAAAATGGAAACATTTGAGAAATGTTGAATAGAAAATAACTATTTTAACAAATGTTAACTTATAGAAAAAATAACAGAAAGGCCCAGATTATCCAAATTATAAATTGGATGCCAGATAATTGTGGTTTCTGGCATTTAAAACATATATATTAATATAATCCAGTCGTAAATTGGCCTAACTTTTGGACACAAATTTTCTAGAAATATAATGCAGATTCGTAGGACTGTACAAAAAAGACCTTTTTAGACAGCATGCCAAAAATGGAAGTGAGATTATTCTCCAATTTTTACATGATCTGTCCCAAACATATGTTGAATATAATTATTAGATTCGTCTTATTCAGTTAACCTTTATTACCTAAACATTATTTTTAATTCAAAACTTTATAAGCATAATTGTAAGTTTAGTTCTAAATAGCCAAACGCATTGAGAAATGAGCAATGTTTAACAAACATTGAACAGAAGCCTAAATATATAGAAAAAATAAAAAAATATAAATGTCACTACAGTGTGAATCTCATGCTAACTACAAATCATTCTTCCTTGGACTTTGGTGGGAACCGTTAATCATGAGTGTCTGAGAAAAATCTTTGCCCCTCCCTTGTCAAGACGTTTTTCCTTTATTGTCATGATTGTGTTTCATCTGCTTTTATGTACATTAATTCATGTTGGATAACAGTAGACCTCTTGTTTTCTTTATTCAGAGTCAGTATATTAATAAAAAATTATCTTTCTTTCTGTCTGAAACTGCTTTAAGATCAGTCTTTAAAGTAGAAGAAATAGTTGATCACTCAGATTTCATCAATCATTTCTCTTCTTCTAGCTGTGTCTATTACAATTTATATTTATTACACCTGTGAAATGGCAAAGGTAGGGGAAAAAAATCTATCAGTGTCTTTTCAGAGACCTTTTCAATGGAATGCCTTCCACAAAGCACTATCTGTAAACTGTCTGCTTCATCTGTGGTGAGAATGAGTTTGTTTCCTTCCTTCTTTGTGGGAAAATATCATCTTAGATGTTAAGTGTTGCTTGCAACAATCACCTATGTTTCTCATCCTCTTTTCCCTTTGTGGTTGTTGCCTCCTACATTTATCAGGAGACTCCAACTTTGTTCCACCAAAACAGTTGCTGGGACTTCACCTTATCTGTCTGTCATCTTCCAGGAGTTAAAGTGTTTAATGCTTACTTGCACATGGATCAAGCAAACACCTTTTCTCTCATAGTCAAGCCATACATACCATCTCATTGTCCCCACATAGCCTCCACAACTGGCATCTAGGAAAAGCAAAGAGGTAAAAACTCAAGGAAGAATATCTTACCAGGACTTTAATCCTGCCAATCTGGTTCTTTCAACTGTGTCTCAGCAATGACTGTGGAAACACTCATTATAGGGTTTCTTTTAGTGTGAAGGAAAAAAATGATTCTGCGTCATAAAGCCCTTGACTTTCCCTCCTAAATTTTGCAAAGGAGACATTCTCCTTTGGCTGCCATCATCTCCTGTGGATTGCAATTTTGCCACATTGCAAAAGTACATTGTGACTTCTTGAAAGGCTTGTGCTTTCCCATGCTGTTCTGTGAATGGGTTCTCAACTATCAGCCTTGTGCGTGTGTGGTGATTTCACACCATGCACTACTGAGACCTTGTTACAAGTCACATCCTCAGGGATTTTGTGCAATGTGTTTAGAGAAGGCCTTATGGAGGAATATGATCAAACTTTAAGTCAAAGAAAAGAATGGCTATGAAGATTTTCTTGGGTGCAATGCTAGCTCTGTGTGAAACAGTCACAAGTATTTTATGAAATCTGGGCTACTGATTTGAAAGATTTGATAGTATTGTTTTAACCTATAAAACTTGTGATGGCTCTTTAAGTAAAGAAAATCAGGGACTGTCCCTCATATATTTTCACAATCTCAGTCAAGAAAACCAGCCACCTATTTCTGGTATCTGTTCCTATCTAACAGTAAATATATAATATATGTAAATATTTATATATAACATATATTAAATGTATATAACATATAAATATTCATGTATGACATATATTAAATATATATTATATAAATATAATATTTCTATATAATATAAAATTATTATAAAATGTATACTATATAAAAATATGTAATTCAGTACTTTTTTGAACTACCCTTGGTGGAGGACCTCAATACTTTACTTTACTTGGAAGAAAGTGGTGGATAATCAGCTGACTACAGCTCATTTAGCAAATCCTATATCTGGGTGTTATTGCAACTCTTTCCATCAAATGCATGAATATCCAGGTCATGTGGAATGTGTACCATATATATATTTATGTATTTATGTATGTGTATATATATACTTAAGTAAGCTCCATGCCTAGCATGGAGCCCAGCATAGGGCTTGAACTTAGTACCCTGAGATTAAGACCTGAGCTGAGATCAAGTCAGATGCTCAGCCGACTGAGCCACCCAGGTGCCCCTCCATATATATTTTTGAAAGAGTTAAAGTAAAAGGCTAGAAAGTATAACTATATTAAAATATAAATAAAGTTATTATGAATTTTCTGTAAGTGCTTCTCTGAATATCAGTTGGGGGAGTAGCACAACCTTTCACACAGTCAAATTATTTAAAAAAAAACAAATGCTGTGAATCTAAAGTGACTCCTTCTATGAGAGACTGTAGATCCCGAGAAAAGCCAAAAAGAACACAGGTGGTGAGGAAGGAAATGTGGGGCAGTATAGGGAGCAGTAACAATTAAGTCATAATGTAGTCATATACCATGATAAAAATCTGATAGAAAGTAGCTTTCAGAAGACCATGAGGATGAGAACAATGGTGGACAAGATATGTGGGTCCAAAACTTCTCTGATTATCTGAATAAAGGATAAAGGATCATTAAGTATCTACAATTGAAAAAAAGGAAAGAAATGAAAATAATGGAGAATGGAAGAAAGATGACAAGTAGATTGGAGGGGAAAAAAAAACAAAATATTATGAGGTAAGAAGAAAAAAAGAAGGAAAAAAGTTGTTATTTGCCAGGTTTCTTCTTTAAAAGACCATGAGGATGAGATTTGCCAAGAGGAACAGAAGGGACTAAATGACATAAAATCCTGATGGAAAAGAAGAAGAGAACAGAAATATTCCTGTACATGAAGACATTGTCAGGGCCATTTTTATAAATCTTAGCAGTTTCTCATAAAGAAACAATGTACTGTGTCATAAATATTCAATTTTAATAAATCTGAAACTGCTACTACTAACATAGTTCAATTGCTTAAGGGGTTAATGAAAATTTCATATTAGGAAACAAAAAATTAAATAAAAAATTTTCATTGAAAAAAGGACTAGTTAAATGTTGATGAGATTCAACTTAGTAGGTCAAAATTTTAAAAAATTGTTTCTTTCTTATAATGAGACAGTGGACATAGGAAAGGTTGGGAACTACTTAAGGCAAATTGGGATAAAGAACAATTACATATTAAAAATAATAATTACTAATTAGAGCATTAATTTACCTTGTTAATAATGTGCCAGGCATTCAGCAAAGTGCTGTAAATATTATTTCATTCACACATGCACATATACAAGTCATCGTATGTACTAATAATATTATAAATGAAAAAGCATAAGCTGAGAAAGGATAAATGAATTTTCTTAAGACCCCAACTCCATAAGTGGGAAAATAGGGAGTACAAATGAAGTTTGAATCCAAAGCCAGAGCTCTTAATACTTAAACTGAATCTTGGTCTTCCTCTCAAATTGGAAACAGCTATAACATTTGTGATTTAAAAAATATAGCTACTCAAATTCCCCCAGAATAAAGCTGGGTGGGCAAAGTGTGGCTAGTTTCCCTAGCTCAAGGAAAAAAAAAGATCACACAATAAATTTCTCAGTTCATATCATCTACAGAAGTCTTTAGGGGCTCTAGAAGATAAAAGAAATAAGAGAGATTTTAGAAACAGATGTGAAAAATAAAGATGGCTTTCACGTTGTGATGAAAAAAGATAAGAGGTGCCACATAAAGTAGCTGAGCATAAACAAGAGGTCCAGCAGGAAGAAGACAGCTCTTGCAGAGTAAGTGAGCGGGAGTATGTTTATTTTTGAGCTCTCCACTTTGTGTGAAGCCTAACTATGAAGGAAAAGGGGAATGGAGAAAGAAGCCATTAATACAAACAAAGAGAGGATAAGCCAAAGAAAATGAAAGGGGGGGTCAACTAGAGATCGAAGCCAAGTTTCTGATACAGGATAAGAAGCATAACTCAGAAATCAGGTAATAGAAAACAGCCACATTTGGAGAGCAGCAGGTGAAAAAGAACAGTGTGAAAAAACTACATCAAGTCACACACTTACAGGTCAAGTGGTTCTTGAAGCAGGATCATGTAACCTAAGCAACGTAACCACAAAGAAGGCACACAGTTTATGGTTCCTAAGAAAGGAAAAAAAAAAAAGAAAAAAAATTCGTATGAAAAGAAAACACTATAAAGGAAGGAACTAATTTTGGAGTTCTTCAAAATGGTTAGTAAAGGGAAACAGTATAATAAAGGAAAAATGCATTTTACAACGATTGCTTCAATTAATTTTATCCCACGATGTGAATCTGTTAGAATGAATATATTCATAATTATCACTAGCATGTCTTCCCAATCTATATAACATCATAAATTAAGGTTAAAGTGAAAATTTCTTAGAATAGGTTATCTCTGTGCATCTGTGTAAGATATATGAATTGGGACGTATTCAAACAGAAATTTTAAAAAAGACTAGATTAAAAGTGACCTATAGAGAATTTATCTCAGTTTCAATATAAATAGGTTAATAATTTATAGACTTGTCTGTTCATTTATTTGATATAATTTCAAAAGCAACCTATATTCATTGCTAAAATTGTAGAAGATCTCTTCATAGCAGCAATGTAAATCTACAGGTGTGATATGGTATTCTCTAGACCATCTGTGCAAGTGTTTCTATATATCCTTGCATGTACTTTCACTAGTTTGTCAAAGTGGTGAAGATGCCCTTTTGGGTCATCATTTTGGGGTGGTGAACTAAATGCCCGTAGATCAATTTGCAGAAAATCCTTTCACCAATAGCCATTCATCACAAGACCAATTTGCTGCATGACCAATTTGACAAATTATTAACTCCCCCAAAATGTGTATCTACTCACTAGTTATGAAGCTGATAGCAATCTCTATTTCACAAAGACCACTCGATTTTCAATGTCAGTTTAGGTACTGCAATTTCTTTTGGACTTTGAATTTTAGATATAGAATATACCATTTGTGCCTAAGAATTTTAAAGCTATAGAATGAGTCTGTTGCAAAATATTTTCAATCAAGTCTACAAGTGGATATAGAGAAAAGTCTGAGGAATTGGGAATCTTTATGTTATGTTCAGATAGCCATAGGAACATAAACTAGATTCATATAAATGATAAAACTGAATTAAAATAAATCACAACCCAAAAGGAAATAGTTTATAAACATAAGAGTCCCAGGATCCTTGAAACATAGGAAACTAATGTCTTATATGTATTGTTATTCCTGCAACTAGAACTGTTTGATTTACATATATCTCCAAAAAAATAAGAGAAATTGAGCTACATCAATGAATAGCTATTTTTGGCAATAGCTGGCTTCAAAGAGAAAAGAAATAGGGTTTGTACATTTCAAATTCTTGAATACTCTTTTAAATGTGTAGTGTTTTATATACAGATGGGTAGCTCTTCCCATAATTGCAATTTAGACTGACTGGGACATGTGAAAATAGACACTCAGATGAAACTTCCACTTGGTAGATTAAAAACACTTGGCCTCTGGGCCCATCTCTCTTATTGTACATACAATCAAGTGTGCACAAATGAGACATAGTATTACTTATTCTTCCCTAGGATTAGCGAATTGCTATTATTCATTGGATTTATTAGATTATATATTTAGGGACTGTTTTTGAAAAATATGGACAAATTTAGTATAATTATTAAAAAGCCTACAGACTTAAATGTAATTATCAGTATTTTGGAATTTTGGAGAAAAGAATAGAAATAGAGAGTAAGCACATAGTACTTTTCATCTTTCATAGTTTTATAAAGTCTCAATGTATTCTATAATTTTAAAAAATTATAACAATAATAAGTTCTGGGGATATAATTAACAATATATTAGAAAGTTGCTAAGAGAATAGATCTTAAAAGTTCTCACCACAAAAAAAAATAATTTGTGATTATGTGTGGTGATAGATGTTAACTGAACTCATGGTGATCATTTTGCAATATATGAATATAGCAAATAATTATGTCATATGGGCAAAACTAATACAATATTATATATCAATTACAATTTCAATTCAGGAAGAGAATATTACAAACCTAGTTTTCATGACAGAGTAAAAATACTGTAATTCTCAACATTCACATTAAGAAGTAAAATATTCCCGCAATATATAAATCAAGAAATAAAAACTTAAGGATTGTGTTTAAGGTAATGACAGTCATCAGAAAACACTAGAGAGATTTATTCTAACTTAAAGGTGTGGAGAGGATAGAAGTGGAAAAATAGAGTATAAATAGATTTATTTATTCAACAAATATTTCCTGGTACTAACTTTACAAAACAGGCATAAAAAAATGTGTAGTTAAAAACTGGCAATAAAAGTTTTATCTTGTCTAAAGGGTGTAGAATATTAGAAAGAGTTCTGTTTCCATCTTAGTAATTAGAAAAACCAAAGCAATTTATAAAACCGTATCTTTTATTGACCTATCGAAGAGCTGATTTCATGGGGCAAACAACTACCCCAATATCCAAAGAAAAGTAGAAAATCTCAAGGAGAGAAATGGACACATGTGTTAGGTTACTTGGGATAGAACAAGAGACAAATACATGACTGCCATAAAAGTAAGAAGATTTAAGCACAAGTTTTCAGTTAAGTTTTTGGAAGTTTAGAGTCAGCTATCATGGAGAATGTAAAACCCTTAGGACCTGCAGACATTCAGATACAACCCAGATGTTGGAATTACAGTTCAGGCATTTAAAAACAGCTATAATTAACATGTTAAAGCCTGCAGTGGAGAAGATGGATGATACACATGAACAAATGGGGAATATTTTAGCAAAAAAGAGAAAAATATAAGAAGTAATCAAGGGGCGTCTGGGTAGCTCAGTTGGTTAAGCATCTGACTCTTGACTTTGGCTCAGCTCATGATCTCAGGGTGAGATGGAGCCCTTCATGGGGCTCTTTGCTCAGCAGGGAGTCTGCTTCCTCCCTGTCTCATGAGCTCTCTGTCTCTCTAAAATAAATAAATAAATAAATAAATAAATAAATAAATAAATAAATAAATTTTAAAAAATTATCAAGTGGAAATGAGAAAGAAAGAGACTTTTAAATTGGAGCTGGTTTTTCAACAGGCAGTGTTCACAAACTGGAATATGGGAGGGAAGCAGGCAGAGCGAACATAGAATCTGACTGCCAAAAATGGGGCTTTACTCTGGAAAGATGAAGCAACTCAGTTTATTCTATTGCTTTGCCAAATTATCTCCCCTATTTTCCCACATATTTTTTCCTCCTTCTCTGTTGAAAAGTTTTAGTTGATGCCTTACTCTGTTCACTATTCTATTAGAACAAACACCTTCCTAATTTCCCATCTCTATATATATCTATCAAGTCATTGAACAATAGTTCTCGAGGTTTGTGCTATGTGGTTAAGAGTTACTGCCGTATTTACAGAAAATAGTCAACTTATAATAATAGTAATAGTCAAGTTATTTCAATACATTCTTCAATGAATTATCTGATGCTTCCCCTCTCCACCACTCTTCACATTCTGCTTTGTGGATTCTTGACTTAGAAGTTCTAAGATCCTCACTTAGCTGCAGAGTCTCATGCCATTATTTCCTTTGCTCTTGTTTCTCCTACACCTTTATCTACTATCGGTATTGCTAGAATCATGAAAATTTCCTATGGGAATCTTTCTCATACTCTAACACTGCTACATTGAAATGATTTTATAATTATTAAGTAACACCATTTTAATGTAATTTCCATAATGATATAGAAGGATTAGGATTGAGAGACGTTCTTGCTTTACCATCAGGAGCCAGAAATATGTAATGAAGCGATTTTAAGAGAAGAAAGGTTAACATAAAAGGAAACTTACTGATTCAGTGACAAATATTCCAGACTGTGCATTTTTAAATTCGAATACTTTACTGAAAACATACTTAATCAAATAACTTATTGTAAACAATAATTTTTCATTGGTATTTTGCTAACAAATAATCTGCTTTCTATCCTCCCATTTGTCAGTGGCAAATGAGATCTGCAATAATCTGTAATTTCCCTTAGAGAGCAAATAGATTTTAATTCTGCCAAATAATATTTTTAGGTAGAATTAAAGGAAGTGTAAAATATTACCTTAATTGCCTAAGATTCCGAAGTTTGATGACATAAATTATGATCTAATTATAGAACTAGATTTGTTATACCTACAGAATGATAGAAATCATCTCTCCTATCTTAATGCCTATATACATATATTTATATCTAAAAGTACATCTTTCTTTAATATAGATACAAACGTGTAGTCAGCTAACTCTGCCAAGAGAATCAAGCATTTAATCAATCAGATTCTCACAAAATTAAGTATTGTTATAACTATCTTTGGAAATAACCACTAAGACATAGCATGCCCCTCTCTGATAAACCTGTAATAGACACAAAATTGTTAGTGTGAATTCTTCTTAGAAGTCCATATCTAAACTGGACAGCTGGCAAGAGAACATGTCTCTGTCATCTTAGAATAAACCACTTATTATTCAGCTCTCTTAAGAGATTACACCTTTGGCAGCCAAACATTTTATGCCATCTGCAGCAGGTGGGAAACATGGAGAGTTGTGAAATTCTGGTTCATTTCAGTGGTCAAAGTAGTATTTGCAGAAAAAAAAATGCTTTTGTCTTTAGGATAGAATTTTTATATATTTTCAATAAATGCTCCTTCCCCTTGACCTCTGTCAGGATTTATCTCTTTTCCAAGGATATTATTGCTTTCCTTCCCAGAGATGTCTAAGATGATGTCAGGAATTAGACACTTAATGTAGTCATAAATCACAGCAAGAGTTATTTAATAACTATATTTCAAACTGTGATTCTGTTTTCAGTTCCATTATTATCTTATATCAACTTAGTTAACATCCAAAAGATTCAGTCCTATTTCAAATTTCACCATTTTTTCATCCACATCCGTTTTCTTGCTCTGTTCAGCTCTCAAGCCTATGTAAGCACACTATACATACAAGCTTAGCAGAGCTAATCAAAATTACCATACAATTTGGGTAATAATATTTTTTTGTGTGAATTTTCTGTTCCCTAAGGCCTCCTATATTTTAATGCTACATTCAGGACTGTCCAAATCTTATAATTTAAGCAAATATG